GAAAACATGTGAGTGAGTGAAATGGTTGAATAAGCACTTTAGGTCAATTTTCAGAAGTACCTAAGTGACTTTTGTGCCCACGTCCCACTCACTTTCAATCAGACATGCTCTTAAATCACATAGGCACCATGAATTTTTCACTTTTATCTACTTATGTCCGACTTCACTGAGTTACCTCTTTTCTAAATTTTCAAAACTCTATCAGGGCTCAATGTTGGCCTGGAGAATATGAAAGATTTAAGGTAATTTCCTAGCTAAAACAGAGCTAAACAGAGCTTTCCTCCCTATTCCAGTGCATCCAAATTACAGATGCACACTGTAATCACACTGTCCTAGAAAGGAATGTTATACTACTGGAAATTCATGGTTTTGAGTCTCAAGATTACTCCAAAGATATTTTTCAGGCAAGAGTCAGTCAATTATTTCCTGATGTCTCTGTGGTAGTAAAAATTATTTATAAAGACAATATTTTAATTATAGCAATCAGAAGAGCGCATATTTTTGCCACAGTACTTTGTAGTCTTTGTTATATTTAGCAAAATCTATTCCAACACCTTTTTCTTAGTTTAACATTCATGGAGTTCACAGTGCATATTGGAGTGCTGATACTAAGCATTTCCAGGTCCAAGAGGGAATTCATTACAAGTGTGCCAGAAGCAGATAACTTCCTCATGGTGATGGAATGAGGAGGTAACAAGCCCACTAGGAACTCTAGTAGTTCGACTCCCTTGTTTTCTTGTCTGTTGCTTCTAAATTAGATACAACCTAAAGGTCTCTGTTGGATGCAAGGAAAAAGTTACCCAACTGGGAATGAAGCATTAACCTTTCAGAAACTACTTGGCTAAACCAAACATGATGAAGGGGAAACTGATTTAATTCAAATTATATTTCAGACTTTAACCTTGCACACCCTGGATATACGTTAATAGATTACAGGTGACACAAGCACCAAATACAGATGCTAACAGATAGGAGCATGACAGAATTTCATCCCCTCCCCACCCAAAAGAGATCAATAAGGATGTAGAATTAGCTGTAGAAATGTGGAAGTTATATCAGAGCACAAAATATAGTCTAACCACTCAGCACATCAGGAAACATCAGAGGCCAGTGCCTTGGCCAGAGGAAAGGACTTATGGGAAAAGGCCTTCCATAAATTGTGGTATCCACAGAGAGCGCTGGAACTCAATCTATTTGGCAGCTGTCAAATGAGAAAAATTCAAGTTTTTCCCAATGCTTCCATGGAACTATATACAGGAGAGAGATGTATTTTCAGGAGCAGTTCCTCAGCTGGCATGAATTGTCATAGCTCAACTGTATGTTAACAGAGTTCTGACAGTTTTCACTATCTAAGGATTTGCCTTAATGTCTCCTGTTCTTTGTGCCCAATTTATCTTACCTCAATGGCTACCTGGAACTTAACAGTTTAATTCCAATTCAATGGACTTCCTAAATGTTGAGATACACCAAACATTGTAAAAATCAGATGTGAGGAGAGAAGTAGTAGTAACTCTAGAAAGAACATTTTTCTAATGATTCTAATAGAACTATCTGTCAAGGAATTTTTTCACAATGCCAGATTTCATAAAGAAGTTCCTGCTTTTAGGGTGAAAAATTTAAGCCCATGCTATAACATACCTTTTAGTAATATTGTTTTAGGAATTTTTCAAAATTAAATTAAGGAGAAAAAAAAATCCATGAAAGATATAAGACATTAATTCTAAGCTATTAAGCCAGCAAAGTAACAGATGGATAGTGATACATGAGATGTCTATGGCTAGTTACTAAAAAGAAGTCCAGTATACAGTGCTCAAGAATAGATATCACAGATCATGGATTGAACAGGACCAGTAAAACTTCTTGGGTTTGGACACAGCAAAGGCTTTTTGTATGAAATTCTTCACATAGAACTCTTATATGTTCATTCAACCATATATTATAAGATTGAGGCAACGATATTATATGACCTGTGTTATGAAGGAAGTCACAATAACTGATAATAATGGTCCTTCTAAATTTAAATGCTGTTAATCCTTTCTACTTGTAACATTGATTGTGCTGATAATATCATGTACTGATAAGGTTTCCTTACCCTTCCCTTCATAAGTCCCTCTCTTCAGATGTATAGATCTTTGCCAAATTTGAGATATTTAGGCTGAAATTTTTTATATTCAGTGTCTGTATCAGGTGTTTTGGTCAGTGAAAATGGTTCACCCATTTCCAAAATCAGACAATGAAAAATAATATTATTTTGTCTGCAGCACACAATTCTTATGATCTTTAATTGACCAGCTCTCGTGTGCTTCTGTTTCGCAGCAGAAACTTCCAATTTGGTCTTTGTGTCAGTACTCTGCACAGCTATGAAACATGCCAAAAGTTGTTTAAGACTGTGAAAAGCCCCACATATAGACATTTCTTAGTAGAGATGTTGAGATTTTAGCAGCTAAAATCTCAGAAAAGTCACGTTCACTAAGCATGCACAAGCCTCTCACCAATTGTAGTGCTGACCAGACTGTATATGTGCCATATCCAAAGGGTATGTCTAGACTACATGCCTCTGTGTACAGAGGCATGTAAATTAGACTACCTGACTTAGTCAATGAAGCTGAGATTTAAATATCCCCGGCTTCATTAAAATAAAAATGGCCACCATGCTGTGCCAGCTCAGCTGATTGTCAGCACAGCGCGGCAGTCAAGATGTGGATCAGTTGACAGAGAAAGCCTTTGTCGACCGCTCCCTTATGCCTCATGAAACATGGTTTACAGGAGTAAACATGAGTTTACTACTTTAAGGAGTCATACCACCTTGTGTCACAGAAAGGCAACAAAGAAAAAAAAAGAAAACTTGGAGGAATCTAGTCTGGTAGAATTATAGAATGGCTACATTTGTCTCAGCTTCTGACCTAATGCCACTTCCAGGAGAATTTGATTTCCAGGATGCTGAGGGTCAGCCTCGCTGAGGGTAAGCAAATTGCAGAAATTCTGTCACACTTCTGGTCTAGATCAACAATTACAGAAGAAACAAGTGAATAACCTGCTCTATACAGTCGGATATACAGCTGAGGACACTATCTTTTCCAGAAGCCAACACAGCTGCTCATATGAAACAATTCAATAATCAAAAAGAAATGTTTCATCTCATGATGCACTGTGAATTTTGAGTGGGAACTATTTCAATTTCACATGTAAGGGAAAGGTGAGTCGGCAAATTATTTTGTAACAACCCCAGATAGCCAAATTCAACACTACTACTATGGATCAAAGAATTTATTAGAGATAGCTGGCCACCAGCCTAACCTGAGCCTATCAGAAAGACCCCAAACTATTCCTAACCTCTAACTAGATACAGACAAAACATAGTATTGCTAAGGGTCCATCTAGACTATAAGCTTCTGTCAACAAAGAGCATCTAGACTACATCCAGTTGTGTCGACAAAGCAAGCCACTTTGTCGACATGACAGCGTAGACGCAAAGGACAGTGTAGATGCAGTAATGCCTTCTGTCAACAGAACTCTGTTGACAGAAGGCATTATTCCTCGTAGAATGAGGTTTACAGCCATTGACAAAACTACTGTGTTCTGTCGACGTTATGTCGACAGAACTCAGCGGCAGTGTAGACGCAGGTATAGTTTTGTCGACAAAAGTCCACTTTTGTCGACAAAACTCTGTAGACTACACACACCCAAAGTTAAAGGTACTTCAAAGTGTAGGGGATTCTTCTAAGGAATCACCGTGAGGAAAAATCTACTAGAGAAACCATAGACATGGGGAGAAAAATCTCTCAGGATGCTCAGAATCAAAACCTATGTAGTCAATATAGGCATGAGTGAATTCTGGGAGAGCTTTGCTAACATGGAATAAAAAAAAAGTCCACAACAAAAATGTGAAAGACTGTACATAGTGGAGCAAACTACCTTACAGCAAATGGCTTTACTCAGCTAGGAACATCACATGCAAGATCTATCTGAAAGATATACATTATGCAACAATCTGCCTGTATAAAAGGATGGCAAAGACTGTTGTTCAATCAGTTCAAGATGACCCAAAGGATACACCTTGGAGACCATTTCTCCTTGAGAAAGCAATTTCTCCAAGACTGCTTTATAGGTGCAGGAGCACTTCAAGAGAAAAAAAAAGATATTGAAAGTTTAAGGACAATCCTCATTAAATGTGAAAGGAAATAAAATTGGTCTCTGTAAAAATTAGTAGAGAACACTATAGTCTAAAAGACCTATGTTGCAAAGAGCTTACATTCCACTCTCACTAGTTGCCCAGCAGTCACAGCTTTTGGCCTAGTTAATAAGGGTACAACCAGATGTTCTGGACATAGAATCTGATATCAGAAATGGGTTCCACAAATTATTCCAATGATTGAGAAATGTAGAGGGAACTTATCACATTGAATTTATACCAAATGCAAATTCATTTACTCTATCCACACATAGGGAAGTCTCCTTCCCTTTACCAGCCAAAGTGAAAACGGAGTTCTGCTTCATGGAGCAGATGGGTGTACCTTCCAGAACAGATGCCTAAATTGAATGGTGTACAACTGACAAGAGTTGGACAGATGTAACTTTGAAAAGTACATTGAGAATATCAGGGGGAAATTACATGTACTCCCATGTGTTTAACACATTCTGGAACAACTTACACATCTACACTGTGCCGCCTGTTATTTCAAAATATTTTTCAAAATAATGGGCACGTTATTTTGTCATCCCTGTAACCCTTTTTCCACAAGAGTTAAAGAATGCCTCAAAATAGGGCATTTTTTGAAATTTGGCACTCTGTAGATGCACAAAATGTCAAATCTCAAAATAGAATTCAAATAAGATACACAATTTGCATAGTACAAATTGCGTATCTTGTTGAAATTTTAGGAAGCTGTGTAGACACACCCTTAGAGAAGCAAAAGTTTTCTTGAAACTGGATGCCCAGTCTACGGTCTGGCATGTACAACTTGCTACAAAATCAGTACTACTTACTCTCTTCACTATACCTTATAGAAGATTTTGTTTCAGTTGACTAGCATTTGGTATATCACCAGCTTTCTGTTGCAATTTATGGAGTGACTGGTAGGGTTTTCTGCCAAATGGATGATATCCTTATTGACCAGAATCTCTTTGTAGTGCTGCAAAAATTAGAGAAGGCAGGCCTATTATTTACCAAATGTGAATTTTCAAAAGATTGAATCAATATTTCAAACTAGATGAAATAGGAGTGAAATCTCATCCAGAGAAAGTCTAAGCAACTATCTAACTGAAGGAGCCCCAGAGTGTCAGCAAAGTATTTTGATTCATGAACACAGTGACACAAGCAGAGAAACTCAAACTTTATCTGGTGGAGATGTCAAAATCATTTTAAGTTATCCTGAGTCCACAAAACTTCTGGTACTGGGAAATAAAAAAGCCAGGCATGCAGAGAAATGAAGCATTACCTGAGCACTCTATCAGTTTTGACTCTTTCTAAAACAAATATATTCACTGATGTTTGAGTGGAGATTTCATCTTATAGCAGGGAGACAGTCCTCCTTCTGAAACTTTCTCCTCCCAGTAGTGTATGCTACATGAGCATTCACCACTATTAGAAACAAATGCTACACACAAATAGAAAAAGAAGCACACTTACAAGTCCTTAAGAACATTTCAGAGACTTCTAGGAAGCATAAAAGTCCACAGAAAAACGGATACTATCACACTAGAAGTTGTGTCCTAGATTGACACTGAGCTAATAGGCAGCCAACAAAATGGGGAAAAAACACCCAAAACCAGTAAGACATGATGCTTCTGAAGGGAAGATTCACCTCTATAGTTTGATGTTGTGCACGTACCCTATCACATGCACTCATTTCTGAAATTCCTCTAGTAAATACAAACAGTACATCTGAGACAACCCCCTGAATGTGGATCCCCTGGATTTGTGGGGGTTGGGCTTGGGGACACAAACTGTGTAGAAGTTTTAATACCACTTGAGCATTTTGACAGTGCTAGGAGCTAGTTTATTTACATCATACACGGATTTTGGCTAAGCTGGGAGGTTGGGTTACTTTAAAGTCCTATATGAATGCTAGTAATGATAGGCAAACTGCATGGACCTATATAGCAAACAGAAGTGTAATGCTGAGGCTGAGGACTGCGTACTTTTTTATTTTATTACTCTCAGTGTCAGGGACTAAGTCAAGTTATTTAAGGTGGGGAAAAGAAGATTAGTTCAGTTTGTTAACAATACAAGTAAGCAGGGGAAACTCAGAAAATGTTCAATATTCAATTTGCCTATAGGCCATGATTTCTGAACCTTAATCAGGGTCCTTTAGGTTTTGCTATAGAAAATACACAGTGATAGAGATTTTGCCTCAACTAAAATACATCATATCAAACCCATGAATAATATATATCTGACATTTGATTCAAGCTTGGGATTTTTGGACAAATATTGACAGAGAGCTAAAAAAAACCTGTGGTAAACAAAGAGCTGCAAAAACAGGACTGGTCTAGTAAAAATGCAAAAGTACAACACAGCTGAGAAATTCTGCTGTTTAAGAGATGCTTGAGCTGAAAACGGCTATTATTAGTCAAAAATACTGATTAGCACGGACCTACAGAGAATTGCAAGTACTTGTAATGCTTTCCACATATGCTTCTGTTTAAAACTTTTTATTGTACAATCACAGATTATTTTAAGGGCAGCAAAGCTATTAAATCATAGGTAGTTAATGAATTCCAGTCCTTCCTAAATAAATAATTATATCACCAGCTTTTATTAACTATAGCCTGTTACATCCCCCATTATATACACTCCTTGAGTAGTAAAACTGGTTATGGATTCTTCATACAGTAGCCCCTGAACTACTTCAGTCAATTAAATCTTTTATTGTACCTGATTTGTCAGTACCAGTGTCATCGCTAATCTACTAAATCCACATCAGTTCACAAGCAGTAAATGCACTTAATTCTGTGGCAAAACTTGGGAGGAGACATACAAGCAGTTTCCCAGATATGAACCATAGTGATTATTACACTTTGAAATAGATAACCATATCTCTCACATCTTAGATTTTGTGCACTATAATTGTGGAAAAAAATATTAAGCACTGAAAGGTATGGCTACATGTGCATTAAATGCTCTGAATTTGTTTTCCAGTTTCTTGTCCCTTTAAATAATTATAACCAGGAACAAAGTAATCACAACTTATTTCAGAACCTGTAACAACTTAGTATCAGTCTCCATGACTTTGAAATACACCTCCACAAAAGTATTCCAAAACATTTTTTAAGTTTGACCTGATATTAAACTCTTTATCCCTAAGCCACGCTATCTGCTGTTTGCCATTAAATATTTGATTCCAATAGAAGGAAGGAAAATGACATGCACTAAGTTATTGTTGAGAGTAACAATTTTGTCCATCTAATGATAATTTCAGTTATACCAAAGTTAAACATAGACATCAACACTATTTTATATTGCAAAGTAGAGTTTATCAGATAGGGCATATACTTGATTTTCCTTTAAAATGCATTCTTTCCTAAAGCATCTTTCTTTAAATAAAACCCAACTCTTTACATGTTATAGCTTTTATAAGCCTTTGGATTAAAAAAGCAATTCCCTATACAGGTTGGACATACCACCTTTATTCTGAAAGAGAAGGTAAAACAAAACAGACTCTTACCAGAGATAGAGAAAACAATTCCTTCAGCTAGATCCAACAGTGCTCTGTGCAAGCAGGCAGCATGAGTGATCTTTGGGCCTCACACAAAAGCAAGATAATTGGCTCTCAATGAAGAGATGTAAACATCCATCATAATGGCACTGGTGCTGAGGCTGAAAGCTGCCTCAGCTGTTCTATGTACTCTGACTGTAAGATGATGTCACAAACATCAACTGGGTGTACTCTCATTGGCTTCTGTTACCTGGAATCATAACTTAACCCTAAACTGTCAGCTGCAAATTGAAATGTGGAGCTGTTTGATATATAGATGGTGTGGAGAGTGGGGGGAATGAATATATTGAAAGCTCACAATTTGAGTGGCAGGTGCATACAGTTTAAACAGAGAAAACCAAAAATCAAAAACTAATTTGCTTAAATTATTAAGCAAGAGCCCTGGGGAATTGAATTTTCATAATGTTTACTAAATGGCAGTAATCATCAAAATATTGTACAGAAGGGGTATTAAATGAAAGGTTAATGCATACAGCATCTGGAGAATTCTCTTTTTATGATTTTACATTGCCTTATATTAAGCTATGAGAGTTCCCAAAGATGCACATAAAAAAGGGGAGGGGGGCTCATTTGAGAATACTGCATATGTAGCTATAATTAGGTTATCCACAGGTAGGCACTGATATTTTAAGAATTAAAAAACTAAAACAAAGTAAAAGTAAAGATATGCACAAATGTAAATGTACACTTATTTTTAATGTAAAATAGGATCTCAGACATTGTGTGGTAAATGAGGCATGAAACACACTGTCAAATATCTGATTTCTTAAATAGAGTGGCACTAAATATTGTTAGGTTGCCAGAAATATTCCACAAATCATGGGAACTTTAAAATGAGCCCCAATCCAGCTATTAAATATCTGGCTTTTCTGAAACAGAAATAATAATTTAATCTTTCATCTTTAATTGATAGACTATCCAAGTGCTCTATATAAGGAAAAAAAATCACAGGGCATATATATTACATATTGTATGCAGAGTATGTGTACATTTATCTACATTAACATTTTCCCTCTACTTTGACTTTTTGTTGTTGTTGCTGCTTACTTGGCTGGAGAGAAGCTTGATTTGATGTTTGTTTAGAGTAAAATATAACTCCTTAGTTAGTGTGCAATTCAGTATGCCTAATGCTAAAACTAAGTGTTGTGTTTAATTTTTTTTTCTGTTCAGTTTATTCCCCAGGAAAAAATATGCTCAGAAATGTTTTTTGGCTTAATATAGAATATGTGAAACATATCACGGGATTTCTCAAATAAACTTGATAAACAGCTCTGCCATTGCCTTGTGGTCCTTTCACCAAGTTGTAGAGACTCAGGAGATTAAATTCTGGGGACTTAATAAACAGCAGCTCTGTGTAGGGATCTGGAAGCTAGCCTATTAGTCAAAATGTACTTTAGGCCAAAGTGAAAGCCCCATATCATTTATTTCTGCCTAGAAAACATGGGAGTTTAGATGGAAATGTATATAAAAAAAGATTCATTGCCATGCAAAGTGACATAAAACTGAATTACAGATCAGAAAGATGAATATGGACAATAGGAATGCCAACTGTGCTTTTGTGTGACTAATGATAAAGGTAAGACACAGTAATTGGTAAGAAGATATGAGTCATGAGTAAAGGAATTATTTATGGGATAAAATATGCTTAGACATATCATATGTATAAGTTATATTCCTCTGAAACTTTAATGCTATAAATAGCCAAGATCAAACAAAAAGTCAAACAAAAATGTGATTATGTGGGTTGATTTGGTCTGTAAAATATACAGAGTCCCCATATCTAATTAATCTTAACACAATGAATTCATGTCCCATATTTTTGTTTTTCTTACACATATAATACTTTATTTCCTTAATGGGGTAATTTATTCTTATGTGAACTGCTAGATAGTCTATGTGGTTAAAGAACAGTATGCTGGCATAGCCTCCATCCACACTAACATCTCAGAATCTAGATTTTATATTTTACCCACAGAACAGTCAATTATGTCAAAAGTTTTGTTTGTGAAATTAGCACACAAGAAGCAATAGAGTCCTATTATGAATTTAAGAAGAAAATATTGCACCAAACCTGTATGTCAAATGGAAATAGCACTTAAACTCCAGCACATTTGTATTAGGATACCTTCTTTTGTACTGTAAACATATGGTAAGTTAGAATCTTTAAGCTGAGGTACTTGTGACATGTTACCCCAAGCAAAGTAAAATTCAGTTTCATGAATACTTATTTCCCACAAGTTGAAATAATTACCGCCTTTAATTGCCTGACAATTATTTCTGACAGATCAATTTAATGGTTAAACTAATTACAGGTGGTCTCCGAGTTATGAAAACATTGACTAACAACTGTTCATCCTTACGACCAACCTCCCATTAAGCCGGTCCCCGAGTTACTAATGTGATCGCGCTTACAAACAGTGTGGTCACATTTCAATAAATGGGATCCGACCTATGAACAGATCGAGTTACGACCAAGTGTTTGGTACGTAACTCATTTGTAAGTCGGGGACTATCTGTATTTGTATTGCAAAATCCTGCAGAGAACACACATCTTTTGATAGAGCTTCACCTACACATTATTAGTGTGGTCAGGGGTAGGTCTACAGATTTTGGGGGAAATCAGAGCTCAGGTGATAAGGTTTTAAAGATTAAATGTACAGTCTCAAAATTGCTGTTCTCATATATCTATTTCAGAAGAGAGTGCCAAGTCAGGAATAGTAAATATTACAAGCATTTGTCTATTTTATTTTTGCAGCATCAGCAACTGGCTTACTACCTTTTTATCCACAAGATGGCAGCTCTATTTACATGATCGCTTGCTCTTGAAATAATTCAATTTGAAGAACGTTCACATTCTTTCTTTTTTAAAAAAAATTTTAAAACTGATATTTTCATAGGTTGTGGAGGAAACTTAAAGGAAGTCCTGAAAATTCATTGATCAGCTCTAGTGTTGGCATATCGTTTTTTATGCAATTCTTGCAGCAGTGTGTAGAGATGGCACAACAAGAGAGGCTACTTTTAAACACAATACAAGCTTCATTTTAAGAATTTTAAAAATTCCCCATTCAAAAATATACACTTCAATACACCAGTCTCTACAATACAAGCTAGCAATGCCCTTATCCACAGGCTCAACTTAAAGCAAGCAAACATTCTCACGAACTGTTAAAAGATTACTCCCATGCCTAAAATTAAGCATATACATAACGAATTTTACTGGATAGTTGCCTAAATTGTCACTCATTTTAGAATATAATTTCTAAAATAACTGAATTTCAGATGTACTCCTTAAAATATAACAGATATATTTGTTTCCAAGGTAAAATTCTTTGTCAAGATTACATGCCTGTATAATTTAATTAATTTAATGAATGACCAATGTTGTTTTAAACCAACAAACTACATGCAGTCCAAAGGAAGACACACAGATGATAGATCTGTTTCAGGAAGGTCAATCTGAGTTTAGGGTTCAGATTCCTAATGGGAGTGAAGACTAAAAACCCCAAAATGACTTCTTGGAGAATAAAGCCAAGTAAAATATTCAGTCTTATCACACTTGACTAGGTTTCCTGCATAAATGCATAAACTTGCTATTCTACATTTGACTATACTGCAAGAAAAGAAAGGAAAATTCCCTTATTTTTAAAGTCTTTTAAAAAGATGTCATTTTTCACTTGGATTACAGACATTCATGAAAGAAGAATGTGCAATGACATATGAACTGGAAATATAGTAGAATCTGCAAGGAGATCTACAGGAAAAGCTATGTTTAAAATAAATCAGTTCATTAATAGAACAAGCTGAATATTTTCACTAGTAAATCAAGCAAAATTAATATGTACATGGGAGCTCTTTCAACAGCAAAGGTGAATCATCCAGCTTCGTGATGAGCACTATCTAGATGCAAGTTGAAGGCTGATTGGAAGACTAAAATATCACTTATCAACAACTTTTTAATCATTTTTGCCAAAATTGTATAACTAGAGATAAGGAAATCATAAGTGGACCTGTCAGAAGATGGTCCTTTGAATATTAGCCAGGTTAATGTGTGCTGAAGGGTTACTTACCCTTCTTATAAGATACAAACAAGGTTCAGTCAGCACTGGGCCTGGGTGCACTTCACTCATTTCCATTGAGCATAGTAGCCACAAGTGAATCTTGCAAGATTATGTCTCAGTTTCACTCATACATTCAAAATCTCTCCAAACTCCATCAGGATAGCAGGTATGATTCATTTCTCTCAAAACTGTAAATGCTACCCTTAATTCATCCAGTCATATTTGTAAATTGAAACTCCTCACACATAGAGATATTCAGCAAAAAGGTGTCAGTGTTACATCAGTAGAAATTGAAAGATGTCATAAGAGGAGATGGTTGTTTCTGCAATCATCATGGCAGGGCACAAAATCATGTTACCCACAAAAGGAAGGGAGGACTGATGCTCAATGTATAGCTTTATGCTGAATGACTAGCCAGACATTCAGGCATGTAAAAGTTCATATTTAATTGAATTTACACATGGGAAGATTTATTTTCCTTATATTTTTCAAGGAATTCCATGGTATTATCTGCATGATGATCTTTAATATTGTTATTGTTCTTAAGAAAATAATATATCAACAGGTTCTGACAACATAAAATATCCTTCTGTATGAAGTGGCAATCTTTCACCATTTGCTGCAAGCTTAGTGATAATAAAACCAGCCAGGAGAAAGACCTTGGAAAGTATAAGTCACTCATTGAGTTAGTCTGGCAGCTTATATGCTATGTTGCTCTTTTTAAAACCTAGAAGTACAAAGGGCAGCTTCTTTTTCTAAAGTCACTACTGGTGGCTGGGATAAATGATTTTTAAAATGACATTCTGTGAGCCATTATCATAATCTTGTTAGTTTTCAGTATGTGGAGTTCTAACGTTCTGGAACTTTAAACTGAACTGCAATAGCACACTGTCTTACTTTAAAAAAAAAGTATTCATTCTGAATGTTATTTCATGAATTCACCACAGAGACCAAGAAATCCTTTATCAGAAGAGGTAGAATTGTATGTCTTCAGGACTGTATATGAAGTTTGTTTATACTGTCCAACAATGTTTTATTTAATATTTCAA